CCCTGCTGCTTCCTCCCGGCGGTGCCAGCCTGTGGGGCTGACCTGGGGATCCCACCTTGCACCTTCTCCAGACTGGGCCTGAGGTGGTAGGGAGTGGGGGGGATCCCCCCCAAACGCAGCAGGGACAAACTCAGCACTGCGTGTGGAAGTGGGGTGAACAGAGCTCTCCCTGTTTGCCTGCAGTCCCACCGACCTGTCGGAGCTGCTGAAGGAGGGGACTAAGGAGTCCCATGACCGCGCGGAGAACACTCAGTTTGTCAAAGACTTCCTGAAAGGACGGATCAAGAAGGAGCTCTTCAAGGTGAGTGCTGCTCTGCTCCGGTGGCAGAGCAGCTCTCTGATGTAGCTGGTGATGGCCGCAGGCTCTGAGGCAGAGCCCCGCAGCCCTGCGTGCAGGGGATGGGGAGGAATCCGGTTTCTCGGTGGCATAGTCACAACTACAGGAGAGCCCTCATCCAGGACTTCTGCCTGGTGTGTCCTACAGCAGGGACCCAGGGGGTGAGAGGCATGCTGGGCTCCTGGCCAGAGCCTCTGGTCCTTCATGCAACATGTGCCTGGTATGGGCTCTCCAGGCTGGTTTTGTGTCCAGGCTGGGGGTTTCCTCCTTGCCTACCCCAGCCCCACGCAGGGGGGGAGCAGTCACAGGGTGTGACGTGCTGATCCAGGGAGTGGCTTCTCACATCAGTTGTCCTCTGTCCGTAGCTGGCCACTGCAGCACTTTACTTCACGTACTCTGCTCTGGAAGAGGAAATGGATCGCAACAAGGACAACCCGGTCTTTGCTCCTCTGTATTTCCCCCTAGAGCTTCACCGGCAAGAAGCATTGGTCAAAGACCTGAAATACTTCTACGGAGAAGACTGGAAAGAGAAGATCCAGTGTTCAGAGGCAACTCAGCACTATGTGGACAGAATCCATCATGTGGGACAGCATGAGCCAGAGCTGCTAGTGGCTCATGCTTACACACGCTACATGGGGGACCTCTCAGGTGGCCAAGTGCTGAAGAAGGTAGCCCAGAGGGCCCTGAAGTTGCCCGGTACTGAGGAAGGGGTCCAATTCTACATATTTGACAACATTTCTAATGCACAGCAGTTCAAGCAGCTCTACAGAGCGAGGATGAATGCTCTGGACTTGGAGAAGAACACCAAGGAAAGGATCGTGGAGGAGGCCAACCAAGCCTTCAGATTTAACATGCAGGTACGAAATCCCTTGAGGCCCTGCATGTGTCAGTGTTGCTGCTTTTGGGTCTGGACCAGCTTTTAGGCCCAGGTTAATTCAGTCAGACTGCTCACCCAGGCAGTGGTTTGGGTCTGAGACCACCAGAGCCCCTCCTTCGTGGGGGGTGGGTTCTAGTTTGGACATCTTTCCTGCCAGCTGCTGGAGATGCGGTTGGTGTCGGTAGGAATTCCTACCAACTCCAACACCGCAGCAGAGCCTTTGATTAGGGTGAAACTAAGATGACTTCACTACAGCATTCCCATGGGCTGTGTGGCTCTGAAGCAGCGGGGGCAGCAGAGCTCTCGCTCCCAGCCAGCCTCAAACAGTTTGAGCATATTGCACCACGCTGGTTACAATTCCTCTCCTGTCTCACATCTGACATGTTGCCCAATGGCCAAAAATGTCTGCAGGCTCTTGTTCCTTCCCATACGATTTGCCTTTCATAAAACCTGACTGAGCTGCCACTTGCCCCAGGGGGATGAATGTAGTCTTAGCTACTGGATGGCAGCTTTGATCTGTGCCTGTAGCAGAGCAGTGTGGATTAAGCTGACCAGAAACATGGTGGGGTGTGGTTGGCTCCTTTGTTGGGATCCTTCCGGAAACCTCTGGCGGCGGAGCTGGAGGGGCTGCCTGAGCAGGAGTAGCAATCCCCGGAGCAGCTCTGCAGCGGGGAGGGGGAGCAGAGCGTGGTGCCTCATGTGGGCTGGGAGGCGAGCAGTGGCATGATGCTGCGCCTGTCTTGCCCTGGCGTCTGGCGTGAGGCCGTGCCTTCTCAGAGCATGGCAGTGCCAGCTGTCCCTGCAGGTCTGCCCGCAGGGTGCTCCGGAGTGAGGGGCAGGAGGGAGGCCTGAGTGGCTCTTGCCTGTTCTCCGGATCGTTCTGGGGCTCGGGATGAGAGCTGCCTGGCTCTGCCCGCTTCATGTGCTCACTGTGATCCCTTGCAGGTATTTGATGAACTGGACAAGATTGGCAGGTCGCTGACAGAAGAAGCCCAAGACGGAGGCTTTCCAGCCCACGACGGAAAAGGAGACCTCTGCAAATGCCCTTACTATGCAGACAAGCTAGGTGGGTGATGAGCGATGGCAGAGCTGCCACACACGTGTGCCATGAGACTCACGGTACTAACGGTGCTTTCTGTGTCATAGCAGGCCAGGCGGGAGCCGGCTGTCCCTATCGCGCCGCCGTGGACCTGGCGCAGCAGCCCCTGGTGCCGCTGATCGTGGCGGGCTGTGCTGCTGGGGGGGTACGTCATGTGAGGGGAGAGCAGCACGCGGCTCCGGGCGGCAGCCTGCGGAGAGGCTCACCATGCCCTTTGGACCCTGCTCTTGCCCTCGGTGGTGAGTTGACTGCGGGGTGCACACAGGAATATAAACAAGAATCCTGCGGGACTCAGAGACTCTTTGCACACCAGTAATGCAAGCACTGTAATATAATGTCTTTAGCTCACTAGTGTACAGGACTGATCCCACGTGAGGATTCCAGTCCAGCGCTGCCCTCCCCAGGCTGGGGCAGCTTTTAAGGCTAGAGATGTCTTGTCCTGTACTGGCAAAGGCTTCACCTGCTTGGCTTTTCATCCCCTTCCTGGGAGCAGTCGCTGGATGGAGTTTCCTGCCCTGGGCTGCAACCCAAGAATGTGTCACCAGTCTTTTTGGTGAAAAGCACTCGCTTTCCTACCCTGATGTTTCAGTCATGCCGCAGTGGATGTGCCGCAGGGCCCTTGGCTCGCAGGAGCATCCTGCATGTTGCAGTCTCCTGGGGACCAAGCCGCACTGGGGGTGGGGACAGGGCTGTGTGCTGGCAGAGGTATGGAGGTGACAAATCTGTATTGTGCAGCGTTGGTGGTGTGGGTTGGGGTGTTTTGCTGAAGCCTTGACTGGGATAAAAAGTTGCAATGCCAGAGCTGGGAAAAGCCAAAACCACATTTCTGGGAGAGGTGCGTAAAGATCCCATGCCGTGCTACTTGCTGCCAACTTATGTGCTCCCTGAGACCCTCCTGCCCTTCCACCCCCCTCTGTCCATGCTGCCTCCTGCTCAAGGGCCACAGCCCGGGCCTGGGGCTTTCCCCAGGTGAGGGAGGGGGCTGCTCTGGGTCACGCAGCTGCCCCTTGCTCTCTGGCACTGTGCTGGGCCTCAGAGCGGCCTGGGGCTTGGTGACGTGGGCACCCCTCTGCCTTCCATTTTGGGGGGGCTCCTCCTCTTCAACCGAGTGTGTGGGCACAAGGAGAGGGGAGAGCTGGGGAAGCGCCAGGGCTTCTGCTGCCCTGGGCTGGGGTAGGGAAGCTGCTGTTCTTCCTCCAGTGCTCGGTACTGCTGTGCCACTGCCACGCCACCCCTCCTCATCCTCAGCTCCCCCAGGGGCTGATCGGCCGTGGGTTTGGAGCAGAAGGAAAGACGGACACATGTTCAGGGTCTCTTATTTATTTACATAAGAACACTGACTAGTGCCACAGTTCCACCCCTGCACAAACAGCAGCTGCCCAGGTGGCCTGGGCTGTGTGTGCAGACCACTGTAGGAGAGCCCCTGCTTCACCCCGGGGGCTGCAGGGCTGGGGACCAGGGGAGCAGAGGCTGAAAAGGGCTCCCAGGCACTCTTGCCCTCATCTGTCATGGTGCTGCTAGCAGCTCCTTGTCATTGCCCCCTTGCCCCCTTCCTTCTGCCCCATATCAAGTGAGCTAAAAATAACCCCCTATGCCCACATGCAACGAGGAACCCCAGGGGGTGTGGTGGTGGCGGGACGGGTGCTGCAGGATGTGCCAGCCCTGCAGGGCTCAGGACGTGGCTCTGCAGCGCGTGGGCACAGAGCTGCTCCAGAGCTGCGAGCCTGCTGCAGGCTGGTAATGAACTCCTCTAATCTACAGTGCTGGGGCAGGCAGTGCCAGGCCAGAGGCATTTGCCGGGTGGGCGAGAAGCTGCCAGGAGCTTTCCTTCCCCAGAGGAGCTGGGGCAGGGGCTGGCAGGGCGCAGGCAGCTGG